ACCAATCAAAACATTTTTGTCCCACCAGGGTAAAGGGTCAATTATCAACATTTTTGTTAATGAGAACAGCAAAGGACACTGCAAGGATAATGAGACTGAAGTTAGATGTTAGGCCAGCATCTATCTCACTCCTGCTGAAAACCTAGTGGAATATACAGGTCCACTTTACATTGACTAAGCGGAATTTTTCTTCTTTTCCCAATATTGACTTGACAATGGTCAGCTTTATCAGACTGAGAAGCCACCCTCACATGTACTGAAGTGCATATTAGCATAATGCAAAGACTGGCACTTTCCCAGGGCTTTATTATCTTTGCTGAAGATACTAATAGCAGAAGTCAATCTCCTTTCAGTAAGTTCCTCTCCCTGCCTGGCAGGTAACAAGGAGGTGCTACTTCCCACCTATCCCGTCCTCCTGAACTCTCCTCTCTTTCAGCCAAGAAGCAGGTGAGATGGTCTACTGATCTGTATTTGTAGGTGTAATGCAGTGAGACAAGGAAGAGACCTTTCCTTTCAAAACAACATAAGGAGTCCTATTTTCAAGAACCATTTAGCTGAGTTCAAAACTAGACAGAAATTAGCTTCAGAACACTTATGAAACAATACTGAAACAGTATCTCAAGTTCCTGCATGTTCTAAAATTCCGAGATACTTGATGTTAACAGCAAAATTTTACCATATTAAATAAAAGGGGTAATGGAAGGTCAAAATGAAGAACTTACTACAATGTAAACAAAGTCATCTCCTCAAGGAGAAAAGTTTGGGTTCTCAATTTGATGAAGTTCTTAAATTCCAAAAGGCATGAAGGAATTACAATACCTGGGGTGAGGTACCCAAAGTAAATCTGTTGTAACAGTAAGTAAAACGGAGACAGCATCTTATGCATGTGTCATCCAACTGACCAGTATGCAGAATTAGCCAAATGAGGTACAGTTTAAGTATCTTAGGTCATCAAAGACTATATGCCTCCAAGATGCTTCCAACCTGTAAAGAATACCCCAGTGTGTTCTGATTAAAGAAGTTACTCAGACTACCCATAGAGATGACTATGGAGAAATAGCACTGAAAGAGAAAGGAAGACACAATGTTCTCCCAGCCACACCAAGACCAGAATCATTCCACTCCCAACTCCTTCTTGTCCTAAAATGACATTGTTGTAAATAATAGAGCTCACTTTTCATTTCCAACTTGGATCCACACAGGTCCTCAATTTCACTGTACATACCAATAACTTCATTGTTATATTTGGTTCGGTGTACAATTTTGAGTCCTACAAGATGAATGCCTCAAAAATGCCATGGTGTGTATACTTTTATCTTCAGTCATCCATTCATTCACTCATTTATTTATTCAGCAAATATTAAATTGCATACCTAACCACACGCTAGGTACTACTGGGCAGTGAAATTAAAAGGAAAAATGTGTCCCTGTTCTTAATGACTGTTATAGCCTAGTGAAACAACACAGCACGAACAGTCACAACTGAAGGTGGTTAATGCCACAGTGAGGGTGTGCACATGACACAGGAGGGCCTGAGATAAACAGTTTGCTTAGAGAAAGCTGCTAAATGTAATCCTGGAGACAAGACATAGAGAACAAGTTACATTTTAACAAGAGGACTGAAGTAAAGGGGTATGCGAAAGCGAGAAGATATGAGAAAAGATGGCATAAGTCAGAGTGTTGCAAGGAGCTCATTATTTTGTAGCTGAAAGTGCGAAGGGTTAGAGGAATTGGAAAAAAAAATTGTATTGAGGCTGTATTCTGGGACTGTATGGTGAATGAGGTAAAATTCTGCTGCTAAGAACCTTACCATCTAGAGAAAGAGACCTTCACTTCCAACAGCTCATTTCAGTACGGTTGGTGTTCCAGTGAAGAACCCACAGGGAACTGTGGCTGGATAGGCACAGAGAAGGGCCTTAAAATACAACACTAAAATTTTATCCGATAGACAAGAGACTCTTTGAACAACTCTAAATGGATAATAATCACATTAGTGGCAGTGTGGACCAATAAAGAAGCTTCTGCCAAAAGCCCAGGCAAACAATGTGAAGTAAGCCACCCTACTGTGGCAATTGTACAATGTCTTTTTCTAGCCAAGCAAACGGGGGATACTTTCAAATCTATCATATAAAGAGCAAAATGAAAAAGCCAGAGCAATATTTTCTGGAATTCTTTATACTTAAGGACACAGAAAGAAGTTATGTCAAAAAATGTTTAAAAACCCCTCCTTGAGGGATGCCTCCTCGCTGGCTCAGTCAGAAGAGCATGCGACTCCTGATCACGGGTTTGTGAGTTCAAGCCCCACACTGGGTGTAGAGATTACTAAAAATAAATAAATAAACTTTAGAAAAAAAGCCCTTCCTTGAAAAAAAAATCTCAATGATAACATGAATTTAAATTTTAGTACAGACAAGTTTAAGGCCAGTAATAGGCACAGTAGTAAGCAAACTGTGGAGTATCAATTTGATAGAATTAATAGACACTGAAAATGACAATCACAGACTATATTCAAGTCTAAGAAATTTAAAATGTACATAGAAAAAACAGAATAAAAATTTGTATGTGCAGGAGTATATTGTGTATAGTATGTAGAATACATATGTTGACAGACTAAAAGAAAAAATGAAAGTTAATGTTCTATTATTTTTATTCCATCTTCTATGGTAATAGAATGAAGTGAAATTTAAAAGCCAACCCAAGATTCATATTTATTGTATCTAATGGGCCTAACCCAGATAGGTTACACCCAATTTCTTCATTCTTGGTTTTCTAGGATGGTTTTTACATATGGTCCTGATGTCCAGCTACACTGTTACTAAAATACAAAACAACAACAAACACATACTTTGGCTTGAAAAATCCTTTTAATTCCTATTATGAATACGAACAGCTATCTCCTTCCCAATACAAAGGTAAGGCAAATTCAACAAGCTAAAGGGGTCAAAGTCCAAGAATACAGAGGAAACAAATCACATAAACAATTTCTGCATCGTATTTCTCTTGAATGCTTCAGAGAAGAGTCTCTGGAAAATGGTTCTGATACCTAAGAGACTTTTTATTTTTTTAAAAGGTTATTTATTTATTTATTTGAGAGAGAGAATGAGATAGAGAGAGCATGAGAGGGGGGAGGGTCAGAGGGAGAAGCAGACTCCCTGCCTAAGAGTCTTTTTAAAAGCCATTTAAAAAAGGTTCAGTCAACAAACACTATTTATTGTGTATCTATTAGCCATGCACTTTAAAGATGCAAAGAGAAAATAAAACATTGTCCCTGCCCCAGGAGCTCATAGTTTAAAAGGAGAGAAAGAATAGTTACAAATAATTGCAATGAAGTATGATGAGTCCTCTAACAGAGGTATGTACGAAGATACTGAGATGAGTAAAACACAGAGGTGTTTCAAATGAGAAACGTCAGGGTAAGCTTCTTAGGGGAGTTAGGTCTTAAATGAGTTACAGGAGGGGAAAGATGACTTGAATAGCATGTGCAAGGAAGTGTGAAACATGAAACAACCAGGCAAATGTGAGTAATTTTACATTAGTTTCTATGGTAAAGAGAGTGAGGGGAAGAACAAAAGGAAATGAGGTTAATGGAGTAGACAGGGAAAAAAAATCACAAAGAGTCTTGTATTCAAACTAGAGAATTTGGCTATTACTGAATTCTGTCAAATCTAAACTGCCATCAGTTATAAGGTGAACCATGACTTGATGTACTATAAGAAGAAAAAAAAAGCTTTCTGCTGGAGTCTATTAAGTTTAATAGAATACTCCTGCACAAAGATATACTAACAAGTGGCAACAACCTCAGTGTAAAGAAATAAACCAGCTATGCAAAAAGGTACAGCAAGGAACTTCATTTCTCAACTTGCCCTTAGGTGAAAGGAGGAGGGAAAATTCTCCCCGTGAGAAGTGAACTCTAGGAAGGTCTGCAGCCTGAACTAAAGCTACCAGTGTGGTCTAAAAACAAACAAAATAAACAGCGAAGACTTTAAAATGGTCTCCTGTTGAAGTGTCCCTAGATGCTTGGCAGAAACAAATGCAGATTTTCTTTAGATAAACTAGACCTGAATCCAGGACAACAACAATTTAATATGCAATCTCATTTCAAAAATGATCAATAAAAAAATGTGCATCTTAGAACTGATGGAAAACAGTCGATCTTATAGTCTTAAATCTGGAGAGGTTTCATAATTACCTGGGGAACTTTTTTATTACCAGGCCACATACCTCAGAGAGGTAGGCCTAAAGCAGAGCCCTGGAATCTCTATTTTAACAAGCTACGCAAGACTTTTTCTTACACAATCAGACAAGATACCAAAACATCAGCATCTGTTTGAACCATCCCCTGAAAACCCCTACTGTAGACAATAAAGAATAGTATGATTTTAAAACCAGGGAATAATTAGATCAGACTGACACTTTAAGAAGACCACTCTGGTGCCAGTGGACTTTGTGGAGAAGATACATTAGAAGAGGGTAAGGAAAGGCAATGGAGGAGTAGTAGATATAATAAGAAATTACTGAAATAGTTTTAAGGCAAGATACCGTGATTAAATATAACAATGGGGAGAAAAATAAGAGTATCAAGGAGGCAGAAATGGAATTTTATAAAAATTAGATGAAGGCAAAGGGGGTATAATCTAATTCTAAAAACTTTCTGAAGATTTACCCATAATCAGCATTATAGCCACTAGGCTATATGTAATGTGTGGTTAAATTTGAGTACAGTAATCCACCAACTTTTAGATGTATAATAATAAGGTGTAAGTGCTACACAAAATTCTGTACTAAATATCAAATGTTCCAAATGCAACTAACACTCAAAATGATTTCCAAGTTCAGATGTTAAGCACAGAGAGATTTTATTCCTTAATGTTTTATATTTTTATGAATTAATGTATATGCACTAAAAAATTAAAATCTCTTTGGGCATAAAAGAGAGAAAGGATCTTCACTAGTTGACAAATTTAAATTACATACAGAAAACAATGAATCAACAAACTTACGTTGAATATGAATGAACTGTTTTGGCTGTTTAAACTCTCCTTTGTACAAGCGATTGTAATAGTTGACGTTGCTCTCTGCCTCAGGAACTGGAATGACCATGCTCTCTTTTTTTTCTCTAAACACTTGCTGTGCTGAAATAGCTCGCTGTAAGTGATGTTCCTGTAAAACGTAAAATAGGCAACATAAGTCATTTTAATAATGTTAATTCAATGCATAATTCTATTTAAAATTTACTTTGTTTAATAACTGCAAGGTGACTTAAGAATTAATTATAAAGTTTCTTTGCCATAGAACTATAGAAAACACTGCCAATGATATCTCTGAATACTTGTGCTCATCCTGATATCACCTTAGATGTTTATAATTTTATTAAGTAGAATTTTCTTTAAAGATCATACACATATTCACAAACTAGAACTTAACATCTCAATTAAAAGAAAATTGACTCCTTGTTTGCTAAATTAACAGAGGTGTTTGTCACCAATACCAGAATATGGGAAAATATGCGAATGACAGGAAAAGATTTGTGTCACAGGTTTTAATTACCTTCTGCAAGTACAAACCTGAAACTGCAACAGTACAAAATACTGAATAACTCAAAAAAAGAAAAAATTATGTTCAACAGACTATATTACTATCACAGCAAGAAATATTTTTAAACTCAGGTTAAACAAAAGTTCCTTTAAAATACATCCTGATTCTAGTAACTTTCATTGTCTCCATCACTTAATACCTACTTTCTCCCTTGACCCACAAGGGACCATGCTCAACAAAGTAGTTTTACTTTGTAGAAGGCAAATTAGGTCATGTCACTCCCCAATAGATCCCCTTCATACTCAGATTAAAGATTAAAATTATCACTGACTTATAAGGCCTTATTTCTCTCTGACCTTATCTTCTACCTCTCCCTACCCATCCTTTATTGTAGCCACACTGCCTTTCCTTCAGGTTCCTAAATATCCACAAGGACTGCTTTTGAAAATTCCTTCAAGTCTCATCTTATCAGAGAGGCCTTCTGTGATTTCTTTATCTAAAAGATAAAAAAGAGTACTGGCTAAGAATTTATCAGTGTCATTCTTTCAATACATTTCAGAGCACTAGGAGACACCAGATACTAAGAGTGAATGAGAGATTCTGCTATTAAGGAACTTAGCTAGTAGAAGAGAGATATCTAAGTATGCAATCATGTTTGGACTTGACAAGCATGTCTCTTCTCAATTAGTCAAACCACTGTCTAAGGAGGATAGAGAAAGATATCCAAGGAAAGTAACATCGAAACTAAAACTTTCAGGATCGGGGTGCCTGGGTGGCTCAGTTGGTTGAGCATCTGCCTTCGGCTCAGGTCATGATCTCAGGGTCCTGGGATTGAGCCACACATCAGGCTCTCCACTCAGCAGAGATTGAATCTGCTTCTCCCTCTCCCTCTATGATCGCTTTCACTCTCTCTCAACTAAATAAAAAAATCTTTAAAACTTTCAGGATCGATAGAGATTTAGATCTAGCAAGGCAAAAGACCAAAAAGAAAAAAAGAAAAGAAGAATCAGGCAGAGAAAACAAAATGTCCAAAATAGACAAAAGCTCAGAGACATTCAATAAAAGGCAAGCAACTGAGATAAAAGACACGTGGGTGGGTGCTAGCTTAGATTTGAGTTTTTCCACTTTCAATACCAGAAGAAATGTTTTTCTTCATAGGGTAAGATCCCAAGTTGGAGCACTAAATACACTTCTCCATACAAATACTACTATCAATTTAGTAAGAGTCTTCAGTAAAAAAACTTTTGAGTTAACTAAAAAATTGTGACAGGATCAAACACACCCACAAACAGCATCAAGGAATTAGGAAAACCGGGCTCTGGAAAGAGCAATTTCTAGCACTATTTAAGTCTATAGTTTCCTATTACCTTGCTGACATTTCTCCTCTCCTGGTCAAATAAAGTGATGCAATATGAAACACCACTTTGTATTTTTATAACGTTTTATAGTTCTCGAAGTACATCTACAACCAAAAGCTTATTAACCCCTCAAATTTGGGGACAAGGATAGATATTATACTACATCATATATGAGACTCAAGAAACAAATGATTTGGGGCGCCTGGGTGGCTCAGACGGTTAAGCATCTGCCTTCGGCTTGCGTCATGGTCCCAGGGTCCTGGGATGGAGCCCCACATTGGGCTCCCTGCTGAGCAGGGAGCCTGCTTCTCCCTCTCCCTCTGCCTGCTGCTTCCCCTGCTTGTGCACTCTCTGTCAAAAATAAAATAAAATCTTTAAAAAAAAAACAAAAACAAATGATTTGCTCTTAGTTATGGTATAAATACATGAGAGAGTCAAATTTCAGGACTCTGACTTGAATGTTCTCTATTTATTCCATCTTTACTAGAATGGGCTGTTAAAAATAAAAAACCTGGCTGTCTTTTGTTCCCTGCAAGCCTTCCATACAGTGCTGTGAATTGTGTAAGACTGATGAATCACAGACCTATACCTCTGAAACAAATAATACATTATATGTTAAAAAAAAAAAAAAAGAAGATAGT